TTCCTTCCTTCCTTCCTTCCTTCCTTCCTTCCTTCCTTCCTTCCTCTTCCTCTTTTCTTTCTTTTTCTTTCTCCCTTTCTTTTTTCTTTCTTTCTCTTTCTTTTTTTTCATTCTCTCTTTTATGAATACATTCATGCTTACATATCTTGGGTATTTCCATGATGTGAGACGAGTGGGCCTTTGGACAGTGAGATCTTTGTTAGTATTTCTTTTTTGTTGTTGTTGTGGTTGTTAGTTTCTCTCACTTCTACCCTTTCCCACTTTGCCTTTTCCCCGCCATTGTGGCTGAGCTATGACGTCTCCCCTCCTTCATTTGCTCTTCTCTTCTGTCTCCCAGAGTCAAGCTATGCGGATTGTCCGGACGGTGGGCCAAGCCTTTGAGGTGTGCCACAAGCTGAGCCTGCAGCACACGCAGCAGAATGCGGACGGACAAGAGGATGGAGAGAGTGAAAAGAACAGCGATAACTCCGGGGATCCAGGTAGGCTCCCCCCTCCACCTCCCCCCAGTGAATGCTAGCAGGGCATTCAAGCCTTTAGGAGGCCAGCCTTCGGTCAGACATGGAGCAGGCTGTGCAGTGATTTAGTAACTCACTTCTTTCACCGCTGAACAACCAGAATCCCTTCCAGGGAGCAATCCTTCTTTGGGAATGTCATTACCACTCTGCCCCATGGTCCAAACCATCCTACGTGTCCTTGTAGCTATGGAACGTGATGCTGGAGAAATCCCTTCATCTGCCTGGGTCTCAAACTACTCCTGCATAAAAAGGACATGTGAGGCTGTATGAGAGGACCTCTAAAACCACACCTCTTTTTAGTCTTAGATCTTAGATCAGGGGATGCCCACCCTTCTGAGGGGAAGCGCACCCAGCTTTCATTTGTTCACTGCCTCAGGGCAGAGGAGAGGGAACGACATTCATGACTGCCTGGAGGTCAGAATGCTCCACTTCCATCCTCACCTGCCCCCTACAAGTTACTATCATGTGAAGGGGTTAGACTGATCCCAACAATTTGTTTTCCCAGGTTGTAAAAAAGTTTTATTTTCATATTCCAAGATAAAACAAAGACAAAGTTGAATATGGAAATAAATACCTAGAAAACACTTTAGAATTTACAGTTTTCAAACTCAGGGCATTTCAGTCCCCTAAGCCTTTTTTAAATTTGATTTTGAGAAATATGAAAACTGTAATTTCTCTGTAGTTTCCAACTGACTTCATTGTGCTATGAGGAACAAATTCTAGAATTTATTGTTTTAAGTTGTTGGTAGATAGAAGTTTAGGCCTGAAGTCAGGAAGACACGAATTCAAATCCGCTGTCAGGCACTTACTAGCTGTATGGCCTTAGGCAAGTCACTTAAGTGCTTTCTGCCTCAGTTTCCTCAACTATAAAAAGGGGATAACAATAGCACCTACCTCCCAGGGTTATTGTGAGGATCAAGTAAGAAAATATTTATAAAGCTCTTAGCATAGTACTTGGCCCATAGTAGGCACTTAATAAATTCTTATTCCTTCCTGCCTTTATTCTGGGGAATAGGGAGACTCCAAAATTTGTTATTCAGGAGGTTAGTGAACATGGAGAAAAGTAATTGGTGATCACAAATTGTCAGTGTACTGGTCATGACTTGGTAAATTAAAGGAAATGCTATAGATATAGTTTATTTAGGAGGAGAGATGGAGCATCTGCTTTTAGATTGTGATCTCCTTGAGGACAGGGACGGTGTTTTGGCTTACTTGGTTTCCCCAGCACTTAGTGCAGTATCTGACACATGGTAAGTGACTCACTGATTGTCTGACTGACTACCCTCTCAATGAAAGTGGCCCTGGGAATTAAGGCCCTGGACCCAGGATTAAATGGAGTGGGTCACTGAGGGGACCACCAGTCAAAGCAGTGAGAGTCCTGGATATGGGTTCTAGGTTCCTGTAATGAAAGAGTTAAATCCTCTGGGTGTTGTTTCTTATTAAGAAGACTTGGCAACTGGCACAACGTCAAAACCAAGTAAAGCAGCTGAATGGGAAGTGAAGAGATTCCCCCAATGGGGAAAACGGAATTCCTTACTGGGGCTGTCCTGTAACTGATTTAGCTTCTGTCATGCAAGAGTAGAAAACGACGAAGCAGGTCCATTTGGCTGCTCTCTTCTCTCCCTTCTTTCCATTTGCTGGAGACAGAACTTGCCCTCATCCAAGGGTAGGCCAGAAGGCACATAGGGAATGTAGTTTGTAATGTGTCTGAGCCTTTATAGTTTGAGAGCGTCAAAGAATAAATCATAATGTGAATACAGAGATAACTAAAAATTTTAAGAGTTTAAAGAAAAATCAAGGTAAGGGGCATTTAAGCTGAATATCAGGATATTATTAACTTCCTAAAAGCGAGGCCTGTTATGCTGCTAAATACTATGCCCCAGGGAAATGAGTGAATGTGTTCAGTAGCAAAAGTTTAGAACTGTTCTGCCATTGTGACCCTCGGGCCAGCAAGGACATGCATTTAAGCAGTCTTTTCTGTTTCTAACTAATGTAGTTCTACATAGCCCATTGCTGTCTGGAGCTACCAGGGCCCATCAGGTACCCCAGTGGGAACACATGATAAGGGTACTGCACTTTGACTCCCAGAGATCCCAGGTTCCCCCAAAAACCAGAATAGACTTCTCCTACCTCCTTCAGGGGGAGCTTACTCTGCCAACATGGTTGTTTTTGTCTGTTTGTTTTTTTGAGGGGGCCAGTAGAAGCCATGAAAAGAAGCAGCATTTAGCAAACACCTTCAATGAACAAAGACAAAAGTGAAAAACAGGCCCTGGCCTCCTGGAGCTTACATTCTTATTGGGGAAATACCCAATTAAGTCATAAACTTCTTAAAGATGAGAGACCTCTTCATAGCCACATCACCCCACAAACTCTAGGCATTCAATGAATGTTTGATGCTGGTAATTATGATGGGGGTAAGGATGGGGCTAGTGATTGTGATCAAATGAGCTAGATTGGAGTTGGTTTTGCTAAAGGTGAAGACTCCTGGTCTGTCCAGATCGCACTTGAATCTGCTACTCTGAATAGCAGTAGATAATGTACTGGGCCTGAAGTCAGGAAGATTGAGTTTCCTGAGTTCAAATCTGGCCTTAGACACCTACTATCTGTGTGACCTTGGGTAAGTCACTTAACCCTGTTTGCCTCAGTTTCCTCATCTGTAAAATGGGGAACATAAATGGCAAACCACCCCACTATCTCTGCCAAGAAAACCCCAAATGGAGTCGGGAAGAGTCAGACATGACTGAAAAATGATTGAACAATAACTGACCAGATCATAGAGTCACAGAACTCTGAAGGGGCCCTTAGAGATCATCTAGTCCAAGCCTCTTATTTTACAGGTGAGAAAATAGAAGCCCAAAGTTAAGTAAACTGCCTAGGGTCACTTAGCTAGATTGGCCAGAATCAGACTCTGATTCTCATTTCTGCTTCTCTCTCGTAACGGGGCTTGCATTATCAGAACCTTTTCATCCCCATTCTTGTAAAATGGGTTATTGACATATACTTCCTGCTTCTTAGAAGTGCTATAAGGACGAATTCAATTGAGCAAATACGTACTAAAGGCCTGCTGAATGCAAGGCACTATGGTACAAGTGGGAGATAACAAAGCCAGAGAGAAATAGTCCCATCCCTTACGGAGTTTACCTTCTAGGGCGTGGGGTAGAGGGTTACAAATGCACACAGCTGGGTAAACACCAGATAATTCAAAGAGAGATAGAGTACCAATCAGTGAGGGCTTCAGAGAGAACATGGTACCTGAAATGAGACTTGGAAGAAAATAAAGGTTTAGGGACTGAGATGAGGAAAATCAGTCCATTTCAGTCATGGAGAATAACTAGTATGAAGGGGGGAAAGGAATGATGACTTTGGGGCACAGCTAGTAAGCCAGCTAGGCTGGACCAGTAGAGTGTATGAAAGGAGTAAGATAAGACTGGAGAGATCGGCAGGACCAAAGGAGGACCTTAACTATGCCAAGCGGAGGAGCTTATGTTTTATTCTAGAGGCAGCAGGAAACCTCTAAAGGCTTTTAAGGGGGGCATGAAATGATCAAACCAAATGTCTTAAGGTACTTAGCAAATAGAAAGTTTTGCATAAGATAGTCTTGCAAAAAGTCTTATACTCTGATCCAGGAAAAGGTAGACTGATTAAAAATATGTGTGTGTGTGTGTGTGTGTGTGTGTACATATATATATATATATATTCTTATTTTACGAGCTTTATAATTGAAGAGTGAAAGGCTATAGGTTAGGAGAAGGGGAGTTGTGCAACCCATATTAATTTTTCAGATTGTTTATATTCATGTATCATATTAACATGAGGACCTTATTATAATAGTTAGCATTTATGTAGCCCTTTAAGGTTTGCAAAGTACTTTATATACATAATTTCATTTGATCCTCACAAAGACTCTGTGATGATGATGATGATTCCCATTTTACAGATGGGAAAACTAAGGCTAAGAGCATTTTGCTCAGGGTCACACTGCTAGTAAATGACCAAGGCTGGATCCACATTCAGTCAGGTCTTTCCAGACTTGCAATACTCTATCCACTATGCTACCTAGTAAATTTCCCATCAAAAATAAGATTTGGCATTCATATAGGATTTTGTGGTTATAAAATGGTTTATGTATCATCTTATCTGAGCTTCATAACAACCTTGTGAGAAGTAGATATTATAAGGATTTTTACTCCCATTTTGCAGATGAAAAACTGAAGCTCTGAGAATCTAACAAGTTTTTTTGGTTTTGATTTTGTGGGGGATTTTTTTAAAACTAGGTATCCATGAGCTTAGTGGCAGTGCCTACTCACAGGCCAGATGCCAAGACTGATTGGTATGGGAAAATCAGCTTAGAGTTTCTGCCTTGGACTAGCTTGAGCCTCCTTTGGCAGCCTGTTCTAGGGGGCTTGTAATGTTGACACCAGGCTTAGCTTGGATACCCCTACTAAACCTCAGGCCTGAGAGTAAGCAACTTTTCCAAGGTCAAAAGTAATTGGCCCAACACAGATTCTCTGACTTTCAGTAGTCACATTGCCTCTCAAAAATAATAGATCCACAAACAAGAAGCTGCTTTATTCAGTTAAGAATTAAAGCTGATTTGCTTCTTTCTAAACTATAGGGATTGGGTTTCAGAACTGCATGTATGTGGAAAAAGACTGGTAGTCCCAAGTGTTCATATATCTTCAAGGGTGACACCTTTTCCTTGTTGGTAGAGAGCTGTAGCTTGGCCCTTCTTGGCATTCAGTCCTACCCATCACAATTTTCAGCTATGCAGATTTTATTCCCAGTCAAGGAAAAATGCAAACTGGAAAAGAAAAAAAAAGCTAGAAAGTTGTCTTCCCAAAAATACCATCTCTCAATTTAAAATCAATGGACCCAGTGCCCAGAGGCTGTGTATTTGATCACCAGGCTCCATTAATGTTAACACAGAATATCTGAAAAACTTGATTTAGTCTCCAAGGCTTCAA